TGAAACATTTTCTGCCAATTTTGCATTGAGTATGTGCTTCGTATCAATACATTGAATTTGGAATCTACATCAGGAAACACCTCACTGCTACTAGACACAACAATGAGCACTTAATTTCATATATGATTTGTGGTATGACTTTTCTCGACTTAAGTTTTATTCTATTTTTATAAATCATTTGCAATGATTCATTGGAAAAGACATTCTTTGATCTTTTTGACTTATATTAATTCAGCTAATGTTTATAGACATTAAACTTATTAAAACAAATGTTAGTAATGGAAGGTGTATAAATAAGTGTTAAATTGGCATTGTACATATATTCAACTTTTTCAATGCTTAAGTTGAACTTGCTAGTGCAAAACTTGTCCAGGTGAACCAATTTTATATCACATTGAAAGAATTGATCATGACTGTAAATTTTGGCTGTGATTGACATTATAAAAGTTGATTTTGCTTGATTTTACTGTCAATCTGTTGTGAGTGAGAAATGAATTTTGTTGCAAATCTGGTATTGCTGCAGGATATAGGCAAGAAAAATTAAAGAGGATTAAGTTAAAGAATATGTAATATCGAATTTACAATACTCAATTTCAAAATGCATTACCTCACTATCAGGGTACGGAAGCTATCATTTCTGGGGGAGCAATACATATTTCTCCCAACTAACAATTGATGTTCTGCCATATTTTCACTCGATTAACGTTGAAAATTTACCCTACTTTTTAAATTTTCCAAACTTTTTTTTTGGTTTGTTCTAATAGCCACTTTATTTATTTAAGTTGTGGCGAAGAAAATGGTTGCTGTATTGTTGGTGTATTAATGGTTGCTAAGAAATACATAACTTAATAATTTTTTGCTTTGTCAATGCAATATAATATTCAGGCTTATTTCAACCATACAGTTCATGCGAAAATTGCATTAAAGAAAAACTAAAAAATTTCATATGCATAAGTTGTAAATTATGCATAAGTTGTAAAAATAGTGAATAAGACGGGACAAATTATTTGTTTTTGCCTCATATGTATTACATAAAAAGGCATTACATTCAACGCTATTAATATTGGAATTTATGTACCATTTAGCCTACGTAAGGTTAAAGTCAAGATGTTTAAAGCAAAAATTTTTTGTTCTCAATGACTTATTTTAGGAGGTGGCACAACCATTTATTTGCTGTTTAAGACGTGAATGATCATTTTGTACGAAATAAGTAGTTATAAACACTGGGAAATTTTCATTATGAGATCGATGTTGAATAACATAACATTATTTTCAATTACCGCGTTTAATATTGTTCATGCAATAAGGCTATAGTCGCTGACCCATATACTTTAATACCTAATTTAAAATACTTTTATCGAATATTTCTAGAAGTAAATCTTGATCATGTTTGAGAAATAGTGCAGTGAAGGTTTTGCGTGTATATAGAATGATCAAACATTATTTCAATGGTAAATAAATGTTAGTAATAATCATAAACATTGCCAATTCATGCGGTAATTCAACTGTGAAATAAGTGATATCTATCATTATAAAGATTTGCAATTTGATCAATATATTTTAAAATCAATAGATATTGGAGTAAATGTAGCTAAGAGAAACGACATTTAATTTAAACAACAAATACAGAAATTTCTACGAGTGAAATTATTCTTCTTCTATTTACGACGCCATTCAAGGTCAAAAGAACTCGAAGCTTTTGTGATTACCATAATGTTTATGAATAATTTAAATCATTCTGAAATAATTGAGTAATGTTTTTAAGTAAATATTCACTTCGTTCTTTACTTTTCATTGCTATTAAATTTCATCATCAAATGATTACAAGCTTTCTCAAACAGTAGATTTGATAAGAGCTTGAAGTTATCGGTTTTAAAATTCTGCTGTAGCTAATTGGAATTCATGTATTTTAACGAGTATAGCATCGATGTTGACAACGGTAGCTTTGAACTACTAACATTGCTTCCTTCCTATTTATTTGATAAGAAAATATTGCCAAAATCAGAAATGAAGCAAATGCAAACACACTGTAGCCAAATCAACTCGCTACACTTCTTGTTCAACTTGGTTTTACAACACAAACGATATATTTCGAGATATTTCTCAACTGTGATTGGCTTGTGGTGAGCATAATCCACCTCATACGACCCGAGAAATATAGCATTGTTGAGAAATTTAAGTTTGAATGAACTATGAATAACGTTTAATGTAAGTCATGTAAATCGTTAAAACTTACGTTTCTACATATATTACGCATCGTACTATAAGTCAGTTGGAGTTAGCTGCTCCAAGTTTTATCTAAGTGGCATTGTTGATTGAGATGTGTTGCTACAATAGGGTGATTTTCAATATTGATTTATAATGTAATGAAACGACGCGTATCATAATAGCTTAGATATCTCTAAAAGTACAACAACATTTGGCTAGAGATAATCAATATAAATCAGTGAATAAAGAAAAGAGTTGTTTCAAATAACTTTGCCAATCAAGATGAATGCTGAAAGCTAATTCTCTGATTATCTATATTATATCATTAAAACAAATTTTTGGCACTACTGACTGAAATATATAAGTCGTAATAGATCGTCCTTATTTTTACACGAATAATTACGTGTATTTCAAAGGTAATTATGATATAATGAAGGATTAGACGTGAAGAAACTGCCTGCATTAAGTCTTGCTGGGAATCAGTGGTCTACTGCCAATCGAGTCATACCACGCAATATTCTTACAAGTGTGCAATTTAACAAGTGTACGTGTACCAAGGTGAATGCTGAAAGCTCATTCTCTGATTATCTATTTCATATCTTTAAAATAAATTTTGGCACTTTACTGACTAAAATATTTAAGTCGTAATAGATAGTGCTTATTTTTTACACGAATATTTACAAAAAGACTAATTGTATCAATGATTAGAACTATTAATCGTTTATAAAAGTTAATTTAATCGAGCTTTTTAGGATAAAACTCGTATTGATAAATTTTAAATAATGATTACAAATTTTAAAAAGAAGTGGTTTGTTTCAATAATTCACTTTAATGGTTATTTAAGGAATCTTCTTTTATGGCTCATTGGAATGTATGTATTTTAAACCTTATGGGATTGATGTCGACAGTAGTCTCTGGTAGCTTTAATATAGCTTTTCCTCCTTTATAATTTAATTTGTAAATGAAATTGCAACAATTGAAAAAAAAGGGGCTAGATTCAAACACATATAATGTACCAAAATCAACCTTCTACTAATATTATTCACCATGGTTTTGCAACACCTAATGATATACTTAGAAATATTTCTCTACTGTAATTGGATGCATAGTGTAAAAAGAATCTACCTCCCACTACGCAATAAGTATAACAGAGTTGGCAAAATTTAAATCTGAAAGAACGACGAATAACTTTTTTAGTAAATCATCATAAATCTTTAAGCCTACGTTACTTCATATATTGTGTGTCGTAATATAAAATCTAACTAAATGCAAATATTATACACACAAAAGTATTATCAAAGTGAATTTTTTTCATTTAGATGCGTAGTCACAGTAGGTTGATTTTCGATATTGATCTGTAAGGCAATAAAACGCCACGTATAATAATAGTTGAGATTTCTCTAGAAACATAACATCATCTGGCTATAGATAATAAATATAAATCAATAAACAAAGAAAGAGTCGTTGCAATGCAAACAATAAATGCACAAAAAGTTTTTCTTTGCCTCAAATAATATTGCAAACTAAGGTGATTACAAAAAGCTAAAATTCTGACTATCCATTCCGTATCTTTATAACATTTTTTTATACTTTACTGGTTAAAATATTTTGAAAAGTTTTTAAAAGTTGCTAAAAGTCGTTATAGATCTATATTTGTCGTACGAATGATTAAAACGACTAATATTGTATCAATGATTACAAATATCACGCGTTTATAAAGGTTAATATAATTCCATTAATGTTATGAGGTTGAGGAAAGGAGGTAATACTTTCAGCAAAAGTAATAAGATGTTTCCTAATTAAGATTCCTGATGCAATATAGGGATACATAACCCCATTAGCGTCGCTAGGTTGTTGAGAGTCGTAGAGACAATGCAAGCGTCTAAGATATGCGACTTAAATAGGCGTTCGAAAGCTTGCACCCATAAGAAATGTTTGATTGTATGTTTGATGCTATTTCCTTTGGGTAGGTTTTATGTTAAAATAAAAGCCACACGTTTCAGAGGAGCAATTTTTATTTAGATTTGTCAACACATGTATTCAAAGCAGTATTATAGACAACGATGCTGACTGTATTGACTTTGTTATGTGACCGTTTTCACAAAGCAACTAATTTTGTTTCAAATCAGATTCGTTGCACACTACCAGCTAAATCTTTTATTCTTTATGAAATCTCAAATTGGTCTTTGGAACAACTTTGGGAAACACGTCAGAATTCTACCCCAAGGACGCTACCACTAGCACGTATATAAAGTTTAAAACTGTCGGAAAAGCACTAATCAATGATAAATCGAATGAATTGTATTATAGGAGTTGTCAAATAATGTAACAATATACTATTTGCAATTTTAGATTCAGCAGAAATGTTTCAACCAATTTAACACAAGGCCAGGTTCGACATAGTAACGCTAAAATCCATCCTAGTAAATTATAATCAAAAATTGTTTAATTATGCCAGTTGCAATTGACAAAGTTTTCAATGAAAGTTAGCTAACTTTTGACTCAAGTTACAGAAAGTTAAACAGTTTGCTTCGTTTGTAATTTTTTCAACATCTAAATTTAATGTATATTTGCTAAAATGCATGAGTACTCAAGAACACTGACTCTTTACCTCCTTCACCCGTAGTAAACAGAATCTTCCAAACGTAAACAAAAAGATACGTGATGTGCTTAATATAGCTATTAGTTATAATTGTAACTCATTAACATTTCATTTAGAAGAACTATATTACCAAGCATCGTTAAGACCATTCTCATATTTGCAAGTGTCCTTCAAGCAAGCATCATCTCAATACTTTGTTATTGTGTTAAGAAGAAGTGAGTTGATAACAGAAGTAAAATAAAGATTTGAAACTGTAAGTAAATATAAAATATTATATTTCTTTTAAAACTGCATTATAATTTAAAGATATTTTAAACTTTATTCAATCTACTGCTTTTAACGTTATAAATCTATTTGTGCGTTCGTCGCTTTGTCGGAAAAATATCGTGAGTTGTTTTTCATTCGGCATAAAGACTATAACAATGAATCCAAGCGCATATACATACAGTATAAATGTAATGACAAATTTCCTACAAATATCAAGCGGAAGTCATTTGCAATAGGAACAGATTTGATGGTGGCATAATCCTAAGAGGAAGTTGTTATTTTGAGAACTATTAACTAAAAACATTACCGCCAAAATATTGACTTGTATACGATATTCCCTGTCATCCATTCAAGCGGAACTAAACGCGAGCTCAATTTATGCGAAGTGAAAACGAAAAAAATTTCTTTACAAAACTTCATAAAGAATAATAAATAAAAGTCAAGATATAGTTGAAATGCCTGCTCACAAGCGACCTCAAATATCAATTATATCTCGTTTCAGTGACCGGTATTAGCAACTTGTACTTAGTAGAATGTATGTCTGGTGTATGTATAGTCCAGTTGGGTAGAATTTAAATAGCTTATACATAGTTTGCTTTATTCATACATGCTCACAGTACACAGTTGGTGAAGTCAAACGCTAAAAGTAAATGAATTTATTTTGCTTTCGAATATTGTACAAAATACAAATAATATTTCTTTGTATTAACAATTTTACATTAAGTGAAATATGATACGTGTCAAACTATGAAGAGGAAATACAAACGACTTGCCATCATTTGATATGCTCAACGCAAAGCGTTTACTTTCAAATTTAATCTAATACAAGTCATATGCGTGTTGTGTTCATTTATCGTTTATTGGAGTGACGTTTTCTGAACGCTATCTTAGACACGTCAAAAAACTTTTTTGAAACACAATTACAGCAAAAATGCTTTTCGGTGAAAAAACTTTTAAAAGTAGCAAAAAATCTAAATGACGTTACTTTCATTGAAGCGAGAACAGTGGATGCAAGATTTGAGCGCAGTCACGTCTCATGAAATCTAAGCTAAAGCATTCGAAAAATGCAGAAAGAGTCAAACAATTAATTGATCATATGACTAAATAACATTTTCAAATCTTAAACAAATTTGAAGAAAATAATGTTAAATATACAGTTTTATTTTAATAAGGCTCATTTCATCTACTTCATTTAGTAATAATATACTTGACAGGCACACACATGCACGCAACGCGCACCTATTTTTTCTTCTTTTAGTTTAAAAAACAAAATAGTCAATACAAAGTTTGCAGATGTGCATGTTATGATGATTTGACTGAACTATCACGTTTTTACTAAACAAGGACAATTTTAGGAAACACATCGTCTGTTTTACACCAAAAACCATGACCAGCCGACAATTTAAAGAAATATAGTATAATAAGCAAATTCCAAAACTGTTTTCCCTTTCGGATTCTTTTGACGCAGTAACTAATATAATAGCATTCCTAAACATCTGTTCGATGAAGGCTATCAATTCGTTTCATTCGACGTTGAATCCTTTTTAACCAACGCTCCATTCTGTTGCACAGTCAAAAAGATAAACACATAATTTCAACAACTTTAAAAAAGTCTAAATTGAAAAAAATTATCTTAGATTGCTGCAACGAACCTGCCTTTTCTTTTAATAACATAATTTATACCCAAAACGACGGCGTTTCTATGGATTCCTCATTAGGAACTGTCCTTGCTAATATAATTTTAACCAAATTTGAAAAATTAATAGTTTCCTATCTCATTAATGATGGCACAATAAAGTTCTACAACCGTTATGTTGATGACACGCTTGTTTTGATCAAACCCTCCAATATTTCCGCTGTCTTATCGAATTTTAATAGTTTTGATGCCAACCTCACATTCATAATTGATAAATTTCAAGATGGCATAATTCATTTCTAGATATAAAAATTTCGGTTGATGGAGCTGACATTTACCGATAAGACACCCACACCGGTCAGTACTCAGATTTCTATAGCTTCGAATCTTTTCATCGAAAAATTGCATGGGTAAAATCTCTTTACCACCATGCCTTCAAAATTTGTAGCAATAAAACACTTTTCAACAATCAAATTGAAATAATCATATCTTACATGTCTTGGAACGGTTATCCTAACACCGTTACAAACTTTTTATTTAAAGACTAAAATCCAAATACAACGATTCTATTTCCATTGACAACCTCACTTCAATAGATGAAAATCTACCTAAAATCTGGGTTCATATTCCTTATCTTGGCATGCGTTGCGATTTCCTCTTAAAATCCTGTTTTAAGAAATGCAAAGACATGTTTCTCAACCGGTGACATTTGTTACTATTTATGTCGCTAAAATATATCCTATTTTGTCTATAACAAGGGCAAACTTACTTCACCTTCTCGCAGTAAACTTGAAGGCCATTGATCGAGGCTTAAGCAGCTTTGGGTATCTGGGTGTCCAAACACCCACAATCTATTTACCGTATGTGTATCTTATAGAAGAAACACACCGAAAATTTTATAAGCGTTTTAAACATTGACAAATTGTGCATGTCATGTGTATCCAGTGAGCTCGAAAAAGAAGAAAACTGATTGAAAATATCTAAAGAAAAAATTTTATTACTATTCTAAGTTTCTTGCGTTATTACATGGTAGATATTGAATACCCTAAACACCTGAAAGCTGTTAAAGCCTCTGCCATTTGTACTAATCAAGGAGATGGATATGTCTCGCGTTTTGTCTGTTTTTTTTTTAATTCAAGCCGATTGTTTACTTCTTTCCCTTAATGTTCATAAAAATTTATGGACATGTTCTATAAATCAATTTCTTACTACAGACTATGCCAAATGGATGGTTTAAAACGCTTCCTTAACCATAGATATGAATTACCAAAAAACTCTTTCTCTGCAAGATGATATACAATAACTGCAATAAGAAAAACTTCTTCACTCTTTGTTCTCCGCAGTTGCCTTGCATTATAGTAACACTGACAAACAAAAAGAAACTGGATTAAAGAAAAATATCATGTAGAAGATTATATTTGTTAAACAGATTTCTACAGATCAAATCTTAGAATCCTTGCTCTGCTGCATTTAAAAATCAAGTGACACCACTTGTAAATGCAAACCTTTAAATATAGGATGGTATAAGAACGCTAAAAAATTTGCGTTATTGAATAAAAGAAATAACAAAATTAAGTTAAATTGCAAATCTTCTACAATTTTGATTGTATAAGTCAGACATTGGCGGGAGATTAAAATCACACTATAGGTTAACACATAGGTTGTCTTTAATGGGTCGTCAAAATTTGACAGTATTTTTTTATTATCTGCTTGCTTTAAAGCAAAAAAGGAGATTGGTGATTTCTGAAAGCGTCTTCATTTTCCCCATTGTTTTATTTTTGTCGACGTTTTATCAATGAAGTGTTTATAAATTCTTAAAATCAACTGCGCCATAACAATTTTCCATCACTGAGTGATTAATGCTATATTTCCATAGAAGAGATATCGACTGTATTCAAAAACCTACTCTAATATAACATTACTGCCAATCAGAAATTGCACTGCTATTAATTCTCATTTTTATGGTGGCAAGAATTTTTATATATTTCAATTCTAGCAATCGGTTTTGGTGGAATACCGCTTTGGAATAGTTTTTTTGAAGTATGTGTTAACGTGGGCGAGCTTTTAGAAAGCAAGCGTTGGATTATTTGTTTTCCACCTGTGATTTACCCCGCACTATCATTTGTAAAGTAACCAAATGAAGTCATTGATTAACAAGTCAGATCTCTTAAGATTCAAAATTCAGAATTACATTAATTGTGAATATTCTCCTGTGCACGTTAAGGATTGTACATGCAGTTAGTTTATTTGAGTCGACTTTTTATGGCAACTATATGTACAATATTCCTCTTACACAACAAGACGCCAATGTATTTGTTTCTTTACTAAGGGAATTCACGAATTTCAAGATAACCACAATGGATTACTTAATAACAGTCAAGACCTGTGATCGAGCTGGAGCTGGAACAAATTCTACAGTTTCTATCAAACTTACTGGTAAATATATAAATTTATAGATGCGAAATTTACTCACTTACTAATTAATTACCAATGATTTTTACAGGTAAGAATGGTAAGGAAACTCGGTATTTTAAGTTGGACAAATTTCAAATGATTTCGAAGCAGGCGATGAGGATGAATATGAAGTAAAGCGAAAAGATGTTGGTGAAATTGTAATGGTTTCCTTGAATCTTCGCGGCTGTACGATACTATCTGCTTGGTTTTTGGCAAAAATTACAATAGAAAAAAAAGTAGTAGTCGGAGAGAAATTTATGCTTTTCCTTGTTATCGATGGATAAAAGAAGATTTTGTGGTTTATGAAGGAGCTGGTAAGATTAAGATTTGAATTAACAAATTGTTTTTGCTGTGTTGTGGCCAGTGAGCTCTATTAACAGACAGGAACGATAAATCCGATACAAAAGCTATATAATAAAATAAAGCCAATATGGCAGCTGTAGAGTGGTTTTTCGTAGGTATAAAACACGCGTGTTATGTGCGTGTATTTCACGAATGTAGGAAACACATCCTACATGGGAATGTTTTTACAGTATGTTGTGTGAGTTTTACGTTTGAAAAACTTAAAATATTTCGTGTTTTTAAGCTTTACGATTGTTATGTAAAAGATTTTTAAATGACTCATTCATTTATCTGAAAAAATAAGTTGTGACAAATTTTAAGAAGTTGAGGATTATTGTTTTCAGTCGGCAAAATGTTTGCATGACTCGAGAGCTTTAGTTTTTGGTCGATTAGTTTTTTCTGATGTATAACATATTAAATAGATCAAAATTATTGTACAGGTAAGATATATCTAAAAAGGAAGTTTTATTGTTTGTTTAAATTCATCAAACTCATCGTGGAAGATAAGAAAAACAATGTCTTGAAAACATTAACGCTTTGCTTTTTCACTGAACTTACCTACGTTCATCCAAAATTTCCACATTCATCAAAGAGTGTCAATATTTACATGTTCTTTAAAAGCTTTTAGTTATTTTTGTCTTGAGGTAAATTAAAGCTTGAATTAGCTCAACAAATGAAAGAACATAACTCATATTAAAATCGTTCATTGTTTCTCATACGGAAAAATAACAAGACCACGCGTCTGTATGGTGTCCAGGAGCCTAGATCATACATACAAAACCACATAAGGGCTTGGACCATACGTAAAAAAAGCATCATGCTTGGTTTCAAAGATGAAAACTCAGTTATCATCCAGCTACTAATAGAGTTCACTTACTGTGGATAGTTTGATTTTTTTTATTTCTGTTATTGGTTATATTAATATTCTGTTTTACAAATTTCTAATACTCTTTTCTTATTTTTTTCTACAACTACACGATAATTTTTGTTATTTGTTTATGCAGTAGCGTGATGGTGCTTTTTGACTGCGGGGCCAAAGCAAATTTCCGCCCTCTTCACCTTTAATATTATCGGTAGTATTACTTTTAATTTATCACCTTTAATTTTTCTTAATATTATAAATTTGCATGTTTGTACTCCTCATTTGACTCTGAAGATGACTACCGCTAAGGTTGTCGAAACGTCAGTCAACAACAACAAAAACAGTCCTTCTCAGGACTTTATTAACCTGGACGATCATCATTTACAAACATATACCGCTATAATGTGGTCAAATCGAAAGTTAACATCACTCTTTCTCAGGACCCTAGTAACCTGCACAATCTACATCTAGTTTTAATTAAATAATTTCTATATTTTTGCGTAAGTGCAGTAATATATTAATAAAATATGTCATTAAAAATAATGTACATTTTTCTTGGTCAGATCATTAAAGTTCGTAAAAAAATTGTAACAGATATCACGATTTCAGGAAATTTTCATTTGAAAATATAACAAAGTATTTTAATAATGGCATTATGCATATCAATTAAAATAAAAGTTTTTTCTCGGCATGATTACTCCTTATAGTCCAGTCAATCTACGACCAAAACACTCTAAGCTTGAACAAATTTCCACAAAAGAAATTCCAACTGATTTTGGTATAGTCGATATACCTTTACAACATATCGAAAGTCCCACAAAATCCTAGCACGGCAACATCGTGTAAATTACGTTTTATTTGAGGCATTTGGATTGAAAATCCGAGCGACATGGAAACGAGGCTCAAAAATGAATGTTTTAGATTTTATCCTTTTAGAACACTTAGTAAAAGCACAAATATAAATATTATAGATTAAAACAAGTGGATAATGATATTTTGTAAATTAATTAATATTTTGTCCTTTATTTACGTCAAAAATGTTGATCTTGCTGTTTTGGGTACTAATTTTCGCTGACTTGGTAGTTTTTTAGACAAACGCGTGTTTGAAGTACGTTTGTTTATGTATATTTTGCACGTGTTTAGATGGATATTTATTATATTTAATGTGACTTCCCTTTCAATACTTCAAATTGAAGCTTTGGCTCATTATTGGCATCAAAATGTGACGTTTCTTTGTAAGCAAAATAGATAACTTGAAGAAAATGAGTTAATGAATGTATTATTTAATTGCTATTACATTTTACAATGAATGAATACGTCAATATTGTGGGTCACAATAATTTAAGTTAAAACAAACAAGAGGGGGCTATAATTAGAGACCTAATTACCAAATACAATGTTTGCATTATAATACCGCGTTCAAAGCCATAGATACATTAGGGTTGTAAAATATCGCATAAACCAGTAAATAAAACCAGGCTTTTTTGTGTTGTCGAACACTATTTTGCTTGTGAATCATTATAGGATGGATCAAATTCTGCGTCAGTACTGTGCAATATGTAAAGAATCAATTGTGAACAACGGGGTGGCTCTAACATCTAAAGGGATAGATGGTATAAACCGAGCTAGTAAAGAAAGAGGCGATACAGTTGACGCCCGTGAAGGTGACAGCGTTCACATAGCATGTAGGAAACGATACACAAATCCATCATATATTTCTATACAAGACATGTGTATAGACAAAATGGATGGAAGCGGAAGTTATTTACAATTATGAATTGACTAGAGGTGTTAAGTATTTACAAGTTAAAGATCGTATTGACATGTTGAACTTGTTTGTTAAGATTAGGCTTGAGTTTTTCATGTACAGTGCTTCTTTTAGTTTTAAAGAGTGTGGGCACTGTCTAATATACGAAAGCAGGATTTTGAGTCTTTAGATTTGCAGTGAGGTGATGAGAGAAGTTGTTTGAATATGTGAGAGTTTTCATCGTAAGTGGTATGCTGTTTAATCCGTGTGGAGAGGTGGCGGCTGGTTTCGCCAATGTAGCGAAATTACATCCCGCACAAGACAATTCGTAAGCCAGTTTGGATTTTAAGATGAAAAGGATAGGGTCTTTGAAGCGGAAGAAGTTTTTGATTTTAAAAGAAGAGAATACTAGTTTTAAGTCTACGTTTGTGCAGTAACGTCTGACCAAGTTAAGTAGTTTTCGTTTTGTGATGAGCGAGTGGTGGCCAATGTAAGGTAGCTTGAAGTAATGGATTTGGGTTTAGCTTACTTGTGGTCTTGTTCATTGTTAGTTGTGTTAGAGTTAGTGTCGATGTTATATGTTTTTATTACTTGGCTTATGAAATGCAAGGGGTATGAGTTACGTTTTAGAATGTCGATAAATTCGTTTAGGTCGCGTTGATAGCCTGTCTGTGTGTTGTTTATGTTTTTAATGTTGTTATTTTGTTCTTTGACATTTTTCAGTTTGCTCTTGTCATTTGCCAGATAATTAATTGGCACTGTAGAAGAGTTTTAAAAAGAATATTGCGCTGTAACTAGGGCGACGCTGCTAAAATGACTAAGCTTCACCTTATTGATATATATTATTCAACACATCAAAAGTTACTCAAGCTATGAAAGTTTTCGTAGCTCTTAATATGACTTAAAAAGCAAATGTATACTCTTGAACTGCCATAATAATTTGTGAAGTAAGCACTTCAATATGATAGAATGTGATTGTGATAGGGAATGACTATTTTAAATATTCCTTAATTTGTAGGGTGCTGTGTTTTCTTTTAGCAAATTTAACAACAGACTGAGAACCCGTATTATTTAATAATTTGCGTATCGCTCTGTTTTTCTCTTCTATCTCTTTTTTCCTTTCCGTCTTGAGCGTCTTCTAACAAAGAACATGCAGTGCTTTAGAGTAAGATCAGTTTTATTGCCCGTATTTGTCATATTTCAAGAAGAATGTCTTTGTAAATTTTGAGATCATGTAGTTTGTATTTCATTATACAGCTCTTATATATGACAGGAGTAATCCAAGTAATGCACGTAAAGCATTATATTGATAGGACCAATAAAATATCAAAAACAATGCAAGAAACGTATATTGCAATATTTTGCTAAAATGATTATGTCAGAAAGTAGCCCGTGATTTAATTTCGTCACAGTGACGTCAAGAAGAATTGACATGAAATAGCACACGCCAGTACATCATGGACGGTTGTGCGGACACAATTTGTGGTGTATTTGATACAAGATGTTTATACCAGGCAGTCAATGGCATAATATCGAGACAGGCAACAACACATTCCATCTAGAAAAGAACAGCAAAGCGGCTACACAACAAGAGTTATTCGTTGAAACACAGAGGACAACCCCTTATCCGGTTTTAGCCTGATTGTTGGTCATACACAGAGATATGAAAACAGTAGTGGATCCAGTGGAAGCTATTTTCAATTAAATTCACCAAGAATACGACAGTGAAGGAGTTTCATCTTTAAATAAATTAAACTTAGCAACAATCTGTGGTTCGTTTTAATTCAACATCAATTATAAAGAATTGAGGAGTGTCATATAATGAGCTTTATCATCTTCATTAATTTAAGTTCTCAGACAAAAAAATGTTTATGATACATACATATATTTGCATTAAGAAAATCTGCTATAGTTCCTTTAGAAGAAAGTAAGAACCATTTCTCCATAATTATCGGTTAATATCTTTCTCAAATTTTACAGTTGGCCAGCAAATCTAGTTTTTTTTCCACCAATAAACTATATTCTGCATGTTCTTTCAATAATTTTTTTCAAAGTTGGTGGATCAGAAGAGAGAGATATTCAACAAAGTTATTACTAACACCATTTTTTGGCAAACTTGAAGGTACCTTGTACTTACAGTGTCATAGTGATGCCATCGTACCTGGATCCTGTGCTCTTTTACAACAGACTTTTTCTTCTTTGTTCCGCTCAAATGGTCATCAGAATTCCCATTTCTTATAGGAGCAAATAGCCCAGAAAGATGATTTACCGTCCGATTTGAGCTCGCTCCTTCTACATTGTCCTTGAGAAGTTTGTCGAAATCGAGAGTT